AAAGTGGATAAAGAACTCTGCTGCTTACTTTGTCAAAATGAAAATTTAATTCCAAAAGCTTGTGCCATTATTTATCAAAGTATCACATCAGATCAATTGGATTAATTTGATCAAAATTAAATAAGCTGTGCTCCTTTATAATGTGATGTTAAGACATCTTACAGACTATTAGTTCTAAAAGTAAGGGAAACTGGTCTATGATTAAGATATGGGTGGAGTGAAGTAGGTTAATCAAAAATATCAAGTTTTCTTTTTGATTTTAATTACATCAAGGACATCTTCTTAGTAAACAATATACATTCAGAGGGTTGGGCTTGTCTTGTCAACATGTTATGTTATAGTTAGAAAAGACTTGTAAATATCATATAGGTGGAGGTATTAATGCCAGCGTCTGCTATGACGTGATGCACCACACTAAGTTCAGGTGTTTGATGTATTTATAGGCTAATTGTAACAGGTAGGTCTAACGATTGTACCCAATAACTTTCTACTATATCATCTCAGATAAAACTAGCCATGTTGGATCATGGTAAAAAAAGTTGGCAAATGGACAAAGTTAGACATCTAATAGTACATGTAAAAAGATAACCTTGACCATGGCTGCAAGTTGACTATGATAATTCTGATATCAACTTCCTGTTTATGGAAGGTAATGATAGATTTGTAATTTGAAGATAAAGTAAATTTTAAATTGAAAATTATCGGACTGTTATAGCCATTTTGTTAAGAAACTAGAATCAGGATTTTTCAATTCTACAGATTTAACAAGCCAGGGTCCCACTTGTAGCAGCTTGAATGCTGATAACAAAGTATATACTCATTATGAGTTCAGTCTAAACAGTACTGTACATGTTTGATAGGTCGTTGATCCTTCAGAAACTACATTATATTGTGAAAGTTCATTTTCTAAAAGGAATATCAGTCCAAAAATGATTCCGCTCACTTGATACAAATGACATGATTAAAACAACCCGTAATCTTTGCAAACATATTTCAAATCTGGTGTTGTCTAATCAATATGAATACATTTTAGCCTGGATTAAAGATGCATGTCCATGAAAGTATTTGTAGGGTAGTAATTCCCAAAAGTGTGGCAAATTTGGTATATTTGATAAGTAGAGGCACCCAATCTTACTAGAAATAAACTGGATTCTCTGATAAACACCCAAAGTGCATGCACAGGGCAAAAATGTAAGGGTATTACTAACTGGCAACATGGCAGCTTGTCTGCTCGATTGATTTAGGAAGTACTTGGTACTTCTTGTCGAATGGTTAGCGTTGTTTGTGAAAACAGTGTGAGGCTCCAAAGTGCAACAGCTTGTGCAATTAAACAGCAGCACAAGAATTTTCTTAGGCATTGATATGTATGTTAAATGGACAGAGAGTAACGACAAATACAAGCTTAAAATGTGCCCTTCCTCAAGGCGCATGACAAAAAAAGGTTCCGTAAACTAGCTTTTTATGGGTAGTTTCTATCGATTGAATAGTTTTGAAGCAAACTTTTGATAAATTAGTTTGATTATGTTTGCTAGTCTAAAATATATCATCAAATCACACAGTTTGTAAGTGGGAAAGCATCTTTGAGCAGTGGAATTTAGATTAGTCTGAAAAACGCATATGACTATCAGCAGGTTTAATGAAATGGCAATGGGCACAGTGCATGCTAAAGATCCTGGAATTAAGTTGACCTCATCAAATTATGATACCTCCTAGGCTCCTATGATTTTTCACAGTCTTTATTATATCCATTTATGTTAACATTGGGCTATTGACAATTAACATTTTTGGTAAAACAGACAAAGTTTGCTGAATCAAATGACAGGTACTAAGTGAAAACTTGAGATGCCAATACAAATTTAGCGTAAAATCTGTTTCTGTTATTGAAAACATTTTATATTTTAAGGTAAGGCTGACCTTAAAAATATCTTTGTTTCACCAAACCCGACCCACAATCGAGGAGAAGGGTCGGTAGGTCGGGTTTTTTTTCAGATTTTTTTAAAGTTAGAGAAATCAATACTACAGATTCATTAATTTTGTTTAATGAATTTGGGGTCTGACGTAAAAAGTAACGAACTGAAAGTTTTTTTTATTAAACTTAAGAGCTAATTTGACAGCTTAATAATTTTCCGGGTGGAAACATTCGTCTTCTTTATTCAATTGGCAAAAAAATCAATGAGTGAATGACATCGGGAATTTTTCGTGATGCCCGACTCGCACACTATTTGCCACGAACTGGAAGTGTGAAACTCCTTCAACACGTTTTTAACGATACTGTGGGTTGTGCCTTCATTTTTCTCGAAAACGGATATTGAAAATATCGTCGTCATGTTTAAAACTACGCACCACAGACATAGAAGCAGAATCATTTCGTGGGAATGGACGTGTATTCGTCTGCAACCATTTTGTTGAGAAGCGACACCTATGACGCTTTCGTCTTGATCAACCAGTTTCAATAATGAATCAAACCATAGCCATAGTAAAGGGAAATAACTCTCGTGATATATTTCAGGTTGACACACAAAATAAAATAAAAAGATCGTGGAAAAGTGCAATAAAATAATTTAAGTCGGGGGTGGTTTTAGTTAGTCGGTCGCGTTAGGCGAAACAAAGATATTTTTAAGGTCAGCCTAAAATTGCTATGCTTGAGAGTATAAAGGGGAATGTTTTGTTTGTTTTTTTTTTTAACGTGAATTTGGGTATTATGTTGAAATGATTATCATCCTATCAACAGCTATCAGAAAAGTGTTTTCTGAAAATTATCTAATTCCTTAGTGCGAATTTCTTCACTTTTGTTTTGTCTTCAGGAGAACAACTGGTATGTTAAGTCATATGTCACAGGTATAATCATTATTCATTCCTTGTTTAAATTTCAAGACAGTGTTTATCATGTGATTCTATGCTCTTGTATAATTGGCATTCTAGGATTGATTAGACAATGTATGAATAATTGACAGATGATAATGTCAAAATCATACAAAACATACAATTTCATCTGTTGCAACAATTTAGGAAATTGGCCAACTTGAAAAGATGGTAATTGTGCAATTCTGTAAATTGTTTGAGTACAAATATAGATCCCATAAGCAGAAAGCTATATAATGAAGACTATTTTATGGATTTTCTGAATTGGGATATAGAAACAATCAATACCTTAATAGCTGTTTATGGTAATATTTATCAGGTTTTCTGGAAGAGAAGCATACCCATCTTCTTGTGACATATACAACCACTATAATACTGCTATTCTTCAGACTCTTTATTCTGTATATCTAGACATTAACCAATGAGATTAAAGTAGGAGTAGTTCCACACAAGGTTTACCATTTGTTATATAAAGATTGTTATTACACAAAACTTTACACTAATTTAGAGCTACTGATCATTACCAGAAAAGTTTAGTAAAGGGGTAAAACAGGATCACTATCGACTTTTAGCAAAAGCAATACCAGAATTATTGCCCTTGACATTTCATCCATCAAACTTCTTGTAAATACTTCACAGGTCAAAGTCTCACATTCAAATTGATCTAATTGAAAAGAAATATCACTTATTTGCACTGTGTTCATTTGTTTTTTTTGTTTGTTTTTTTTTAGGGGGGGGGGGGGTTGCATTTCTTTTTAAATGGTCTTGCGTCAGAACATTATTTATTAACTTGTTCAGACAGCTTAGCTGCTTGTGGACATATGTTGCATTGTCTGGCTACCAATTTTATTGGAACTTCACCTACATTAAGAAATATTTATGAAAATCTGTTTGTTATCAATGAAGTCAATGACTAGACTTTGCCTGAATCCATGGACTAATTGTTGTTTCATACTGTGAACAGTTGACTTCATTCCATTCAAACTTAACCACAGAATCTTGGAGCTGTGAGGTAGACTGAACAGCCTCAAGCAGCCAGTTATATATTGGACCTCTAAACATGTAAAAGTTGTTTTTACAGAAAAATGGAATTTGGACAGAACAGAATTTTAATCATGATATGTTTCTCAGCCTATTGCAATTACTAATGCACAGTATACATACTCTTTATAGAACTAATCCTCCAAATGACTGTTCATTTGCAAGTTATTCAAACAACTTGCATCAGCTTGACAAAAATCTCTTATGAATATGATTCTAAATATATTTTTTTAGGGGATTGAACTTTGGTTTTAATACACAAAAATGGCACTGTGCTTGCGATTCTCCAGTTTTTACAAAATTTCTTGTGTGTAAAGGGTGAATAACCCGTAGTATTAATTACTTTTGAGGAAACCTTAGAACTAATCTTTGCCTTATATTTGGATATTTATTTGTTGAAATATGACAAGATAATTAGTTTATGGAGGTGATGGAGTGGACTGGTCAGTAGTAGGCTTAGGGAAGCCTGGTATCTATCTACTGTACACTAATCACTCAACAAATTCACTGCAACATGTGGCTACAATAACAGATTTTATAAACATGGTTAATATTAATAACCTTTCACCAAAAAATAAACAAAGAATCTAAATAATTCTTGTATACTGATTGAACTCTTTAGAGTTTCTACTGTAAATTGGAAAATAATCAAGCTTTGACGAAGCTTTACCCCGGTTTCTTTGTAAAATATCTATTTCCCAATCTAAATGTACTCCCATCAAACTAAACTTTGTTAATGTGATTAATCTTAAAAAATACCATATTTAAAATGACATTGGAGATTGGACTCATTATTGAGACTACATTTGTTTAAATTCCTTGAAAACCACTAATATATCTGTAAGACTAGTAAATAGACGTTTCCAAACTTGGTTGGGTAGATTTTCTCAAATGTTTTCAAAGGTAAATTTTCAAATCCCGAGTTATTGCCCTTGGTGACTCAACGGATCTGCTTGCAATTCACTTAGCGCATTAAATTTCAACAATTTCTGTTAATTAATTCTAGAGGTATTACCCTTGCTAAGTTGTATATTTATCCAAGTTATATTCAAATGACGATCTTACCACCATGTTAATTGTAATCTTTACTTTTTCAGGGCTAATATCTTATACAGAGTATCTGTTTCTATTATGTGTGCTTACAAGTAAGTTTCTACTTTACTTTATGAATCTTAATATTTATGAATCATAAATCAACAAATGATGTGTTAAGTAATTTTGACCACAAGGTTAACAGGGTGACCAGTGGGCATACATTGTGTTCATGAGTAACACTTGTTTGAACACTTACGACTGATGTCAGTGGGTAAGGTGCCGGCTCTGGTACCAGGAGGAGGTACTTGGTTTCATCAGGTATTGGCCAACAAAGTATGTCAGGTTTTTTCAGTGTGGTTTCCCCTTGTCAGTGATGCAGTTAGGGGTGGGTGGTGCACGATGGGATGAAAAACCAAGGTCCCATGTACACGTAGCCGTGCACACAAAAAAAACACATAAAAAGATACCCCCCCCTCCCCCCGGCACACTGAATGGTGTGTGCCATGTTTGTCTTCATTAGCCTGATTGGTGATGAAAAGTAAGACATTTCATTTCTATTGGTAAACTTTTTATCAGTATGGACAGAATGGTAGTCTCAAGAAATAACCACTGCTTCTGTTTTGCTCATCCTTGGTGCTGAAACGTACATCCAGTTATTGTAGAGTCCACTGAGAACATACCATAATTTTGTGTCTGTTTTTTTGTTCGTTGTAGATCCCATATAAGGTATATGTTCTACTATGCTAAGTTCTATTATGCATTGGTCTATAATGCAAAATGCAGAATGCAGAAGTGTAATGTGCAAAATAACTATCATACTGTATTTTGTATTATTGAAAAGTGTATTCTGTATTTTAACACCGTGACATTGGTATTGTTGAGCGATGGAAATTGCAAATAATAAAACTAAAATACGTATTTTGAACTACTGACATTTGCAGTTTGCACCGTGAACAATGAAATAATATTGGCAACGTTATCCTTCCATAATTTTGTGGCATATCAATTTTGATTATGGAGATTAGCATGCAATAAAATCTGGCAAGTATGATATCACAACCCCTAGTTGATGTTTATCATCTCTACCATTGAGTTACGGAGCAATGCACCTCTTAGATGATAAACTGTTGATGTATCAGGTTTAAGAAATTAAAGATTATTGCTTACATATTATAACCCTTTTGATAAGAAGACATTGCAGCATACCTACAATTTGTATATAATGAGTACAGCTAAAACTGTGTATAATCTAACCTGTTGAATTTTACATGCTTAATTGGAGATATCTTGTCAAAAAGATAAAATTTATATTTAAATAATTTCTAAAAATAAACAGCTTATAACTAATTGCCTGGTTTAAGGCCCACACAGTAGTAGCTAAATGGTTTGCTTTGGAGGGATATTAGTGCTGTATTGATATTTTTAGAAATTCCATTCCCAATATGTTTTAACATTATCTCATTCAACTTTTATTGATTGGATTTATACTAAGTTTAGTTATATATTTTATTTGAATGTAACAAAATATCAGGATTTTCATAATGGCCCACCTCAATGTAATAATGTTTGTTTTTTAAAAGTAATATGTAGGCGTATAGTCACACATTGAATTTAACATTGAACACTCCAGTAAAATATAAGGAGTTCTGATAGCCAATCAATAAAAAAAATGTCCACCCCCAACTTTTGCTTAAGTGGTCTTAGTCATGCCTATATTATTCCTGTAAGTACTGATGAATTGCCATGACATAAGTGCCATCAAGGTGACTACATTAAATAAAAAGTTTAATTTAAAACATTCTATTTCTAAAAAACAGAATCGTTTTAATTCAATTGTCTAATGTCTGGCACACTAATGAAGCAGCAGTGAGTAGAGCTACAGATTTAGATTTAAATCGCTGAGGTGTGACTAGAAAGGCAAGTGGTGGTCCTTAAAGAAAAGGTGATCGCGGAAGAAAAGCGTCTGATAAAAACTTGCGAAGGTGGGATTGTTGCCAATACATCTCTTCTATTGTCTACAACTACAATAAGTGCTTCAGACGCACATCAACTGGGTAGCATGGGTTGTCTACCTTGTAATTTTACTGTGTAATTAAAGGGTTGAGTAGCACACAATAAGACGCTAAGCAGCTGGCTAGCTCAGTGTGACCACCTCTTTGCTTGTTGGTGGTTGTTGTGTGGCCCGTGCTGACTTCTTTCATGCCTTTATAGGCGAAATGAATGTCATTTAACTCCTCATTTTTACTAACAAATCAGTATAAAGAAGACAAAAAACTTTCTAAATAAGCTACCAGCTGATAAAATTGAAAGGCTTGTCTTGTTTGATTTAAAGACCTGTTAATATACCATGTATGTACAGTCAGTAAGCATATAGAAATACTTTGTACAAAATTGCATGTGTGAAGGGTGAGGTAGGGAAAGTTCAGCAAGGTACATGCACTAAAATACTAACTTGAGTTTCGAATATGTCACAGTATGAAACAAACAGGAAAGAAATAAGGTTTGATAGACGGGGTGAGGGGTTCAATTGCGATCAAGATAAGAATATACCAATTCTAAAATTGATGGTGGCAAATGGTATGAAATTAAAAAGTCAGACTGGAAAGGTAAAGATTAAAGATTCTCCAAATTTAAGACAATACCAAGTCCTCAATATTTGCTGCAATATTAGAAAAATCCTAAACTTTCCTTCATTTGACATACTGAATATATTCAACTATAAAGAAGGTTTATTAGTATTATGAACTATTTCCTAACAAACCTTCTTTATGTTAATATAAACCTATATCCTTACCCATTTTCTTTTTGTTCACCGCCTTTTGAAGAAAGCAGGGGACTATTAAAATGGGTTCTTTTTTTATATTATGCCTGCATATGTAAATAACTATCAACCTGTCCATAATATCCTATAATGTATTGGACATTAAATTTGTATGTAATAAACAACAACATGAACCTTTATCGCCTGGCATAATGCTTTGCGGCTAAATTTCGTGTTTTAGCTTCTGAAGAAAGTAGTATTGGCTAACGTTATTTATTTGGCAATGTAAAGAGTAGGTGCATGTCTGTATACTAATAATATAGACAAGTACAGTCTTTTGACCACATCGTGCAAAGGATAAATTTCAGGATAATCTAACAATAACAAGTGAACGCATCATAAAAAAATAAAATAGTGATGCCAGGGAAAAGCAACTTTTGTGTTTCAATTGATTACTACTAATCACTAAATTTGCCCTCTTGATCAATTGAAGAACTAGATTCCAGGTGGCATATTTTGGAGAACACATATTGATAATAAAATTGATGTAAAGTACCTCCCTCATACACGATTCTAAAGTTAACGAAAGCAATTAATCAGATATAAAATTTAATGCCAGAATCCATAATAAGGACATGGTGTGCTTTACCTGAGAATTGAATTGAGTGATGATTTTGATTGTCAAGTGATTTTCCACTTATTAACAAGAGGTCACACCATCTGTTAGAGTGAGGTTGACCCTAATGTCACTCTACCTGGTCAGTTAAACTTTGAAACAATGATTGTGTGTCTTACTCTCATCAGTTATTGCTTTACATGACTATTTTATTGCACACAGAACACCAATGAAAATAGTGAAAACTTTTGTTGTTTCAGAAAAAGTGGTGTTATTAGAATTGTGTCAAAAATAAAAATATAAAAAAGATTAAAGAATGCAATGACTTGAGACAAAAAAAATCTGCCTACCAGAGCAGACTACTCATCTTAGGAGGTCTAAAAACAGATTTATCACAAGTAGCAATAACATAATTATGTCTCTCTTTTGAGCAGACTTAAACATTTCTTGGGTAAACTTATCTGTGAATTACCATAATTTATGTTTATTGGCCATTTTATAATGTATAATTAGGGATGACAAGAGTTGCACCAATGAAACCTATATCATGTGTGGACCAAGCAAGTAGCCTACCTTTTGAACTGATATATTGGATTTGTTGACAGAAAACATTAGTCACTGGGTACACCTTATCATTATCAATGAAATGTTACACGGATAAAGAATCAGCCTGGTTACAAGTAATTTAGAGAAAATAATTAGAGGTGCCAAATAAGTTTGTTTTTACATGATGGAAGAGTTTTTAATAATACTCACATTTTTTAACCCTAAAGTAGTGCTAGAGTATTTGTGGTAGACCTCGATAGAAGAGACTGATTTAATAGTATATAGTTAGCGTAGATTTAATTATTCGAGCTGCCAGTTTCATCTCTTGCGCAGATCAAAGGCCAATACCTGAGGATTTTATTTTGACTTCCCGCTGTTTGGTGTATTTTACCTACATCAGTTAAAACACTAGCGAGACAATAAAAAGGTGACTGAACCTCACCAGGCGTGAACCAAGAACAAAAAGTAAGAGAAAGAAAAAAAAAGAATCTAAATATGACCCAGACATTAGGACAATGCTGGTTTTGTTTTAGCAATTATCAAGTAAAAAAGAATAGTCACCCCCTATATACGATTTTCCTTTCATGTACGTATTTTGTAATAAATTGTCTTCTTATAATTTGAATGACTATGAGGTGTGATAAAGGGAAATCATATCTGGTTAGAGATATTTTCTTTTGAGCAAATGTTAGAGAAAAGATATTGATGAATTTTTTTCAAACTTGCATGGTTTAACCCTTAGGCTCACTAACCTCGAGGACTGGGGTACAGAAAGTTCTTCAAGATTTTTCAGCGTAATTTGTCAGTGGTGTACGATGGAGGGCCTGGCAAGGAACAGCATCTAGTCATTTGAATGGGATCAGGGGCAAAATGTCCCTCATATTACACTGCATAATGTATGCTCATGTGCAGAAATAGCAGAAGTTACACTCCATTTCATTCATTATCAGGATTTGGTAGAAATTATTTTGTTGGTTTATGTTGTATTGCTGGCAGACGGCTATCCACCTTTCTTAGGAAAATAGTCTGATTTTATAGGGTTGAATTTGCATGTCATGTTTGGAATGTCAATCATTGTGGAAATTTTTGCCGAAAATTTAGTTTCTGCTCCCTTGGTCCCCCAAACTAGACAAAAGCCGATCAAGGTATATGTACTTTATCATAAGATTACTAGTATGGGGGGGGGG